GCAGCTAAACAGCAGCTAAACAACAGCTAAACAGCAGCTACACAGCAGCTACACAGCAGCTAAAAGCAGCTAAACAGCAGCTAAAAAACAGCTAAACAGCAGCTAAACAGCAGCTAAACAGCAGCTAAACAACAGCTAAACAGCAGCTAAACAGCAGCTAAACAACAGCTAAACAGCAGCTAAACAGCAGCTAAACAACAGCTAAACAGCAGCTAAACAGCAGCTAAACAACAGCTAAACAGCAGCTAAACAACAGCTAAACAACAGCTAAACAACAGCTAAACAACAGCTAAACAACAGCTAAACAGCAGTTAAAAAACAGCTAAAAACAGCTAAACAACAGCTAAACAGCAGTTAAAAAACAGCTAAAAACAGCTAAACAACAGCTAAACAGCAGTTAAAAAACAGCTAAAAAAGGCTAAACAACAGCTAAACAGCAGCTAAACAACAGCTAAACAGCAGCTAAATTTTTGAAACAGGCTGAATTATTTAAGCTAAAAAAACAACAAAAGATCAAATTTGACAACTAAAGCTAAAAACTAAAGCTGAACTATTTTGGGAAATAACCTGATTATAATGTTTTTATCTATGAATTGTGATTTAATATGTTCTTATTTTTACGTCTTCTTAAGTACTTTTCAACAAACAGAAGCAATAAATCAATCTGTTTTATAATAAACCAAACTAAGACCTGTCAAACACTGGTTAAAAGCTCAAATGACTAACGCATTAACCGACAGCAGCTAAAGTTAGAAGAGCAGTAGCTAAAACCAGCAAAAAGTAGCTCGAAGCTACAAATGTTGTAAACACAGTTTCATCATTTTTACTTCAATCAGCAAAACGATGTCAATAATAAAATGAAACAATAACCAGAAGTTTACCAGCCTGAATGCTGACTCAGCATTTTAGACTCAGCGTGCTGATTCAGCGTTTTAGACTCTGCGTGCTGACTCAGCGTTTTTAGACTCAGCGTGCTGACTCAGCGTTTTGGACTCAGCGTGCTGACTCAGCGTTTTGGACTCAGAGTGCTGACTCAGCGTTTTAGACTCAGCGTGCTGACTCAGCGTTTTGGACTCAGCGTTTTGGACTCAGCGTTTTGGACTCAGCGTGCTGACTCAGCGTTTTGGACTCAGCGTGCTGACTCAGCGTTTTGGACTCAGCGTGCTGACTCAGCGTTTTAGACTCAGCGTGCTGACTCAGCGTTTCTGACTCAGCGTTTTGGACTCAGCGTGCTGACTCAGCGTTTTAGACTCAGCGTGCTGACTCAGCGTTCAGATGTTCAGGTCCAACTTCCTGTCCAGCAGATTTAAAACCAAACCTTAAATTCTGACCCGAACATCAGGTTCTGGTTCTGACTCCTGGTACCTGAACAATGAAACAATAAAACCAGGATCTCTCTACATCTGGGTCAACCCGGTCCTGTTTGGACCGCAGCTCTTCAGAACCAGCAGAATTTAAACGGGTCAAGCTGGACTTTACATGCTGGTTTCAGAACTTTTTACAGAACCACAGGTTCAGATGGAGGATTCTGGGTCATCTGGGTCTTAGCTCTGACAGGTGGTACCATCAGAACCTTCTGGGTTCGTCTGAGGCTTACTTTTCACTCTGTGTTTCTGCCTGCCTGTCAGGGAGTGAGACACAGGTGTGGTGACCATGGAGACCACTCTGAGGTAGGTTCTGAAGTCCATCTTACCCTCTGAGGGCGTCGGTTCCGCCCCTCCTCTTGGCCCTGTTGGACCTGGGGTCGGTCTGCCCGGACTCCAGGTCCCCGTCCCGGGTCTCCAGCGCCTCTGCAGCCTCTCCGAGTCCCGCAGAGACCTCCAGGAGGACCAGCAGAGCCACGGCCGACTGCAGCAGCCGCCCCCCGCGCTTCCTGTCCGGCATGTCCGCAGCTCCGGGGCTCGGTCCAGTCCGCTCAGTCCGCTTTAGGCTCCCAGACCCAAAGACCTCCGAGGTCCGGACTCAAAGCTGCAAAACAAGCAGGTTTAAAGGGTTTAAAGGGGGCAGAGACCAGAACCGTTCTGCTTTCAGGATGAATTAATCTGAAATCCTCCACCTGGACTCCACAGGAGGGGTTCCGCCTGGAACGGGTTCTCCTGGATCTGGTTCTCCTGCAGGTACCAGCTGAACAAACCTCTGAGAACCAAGAAAAACAAAAAGTTCGCAGAACTTAAAAAAATCTCAAACTTTCCTGGTTCTGGAGCTAAAAGCAGATGCGCATCGTGCCGCTCCTGGACTCTGGTTCTGTTCTGGTCTCTGGTTCTGTTCTGGACTCTGGTTCTGTTCTGGACTCTGGTTCTGTTCTGGACTCTGGTTCTGTAAAGGAGCGGCTGGTTTCCAGAGGATGAGGAGGAGAAACGTCTGAGTCCGTCCTTCTCTGCAGCTCTCCTCTCTTCTCATCCTGCTGCTTCAACTTTCCCCCAAACTCGTTTTTTCTCTTCCTGCTCTCGCGAGAACTGGACTCATCTGAGGAACAAACCTGCTCACCTGTTTAATACCTGCAGGGTTATTCTCAGCAGGTCACGTGACTGACAGATAAATAATCATTCTGTCCAAGATCTGTGTCCTCTACAGCTCTTCAACACTGAGTCCCATTTTACCTGTCCACCTGTCCACCTGTCCACCTGTCCACCTGCCCACCTGTCCACCTGCCCACCTGTCCACCTGCCACCTGTCCACCTGCCCACCTGCCCACCTGCCACCTGTCCACCTGCCCACCTGCCCACCTGCCACCTGTCCACCTGTCCACCTGCCCACCTGCCACCTGTCCACCTGCCCACCTGTCCACCTGCCCACCTGCCCACCTGTCCACCTGTCCTGTCCAGTTTCACTTCCTCACCTTTGAATAAACCTGTAAACTAAACCACACCTGGTTCATGTAGACTGGGTCTAAATAACACCTGGTTCATGTAGACTGGCTTTAAATCGCAGCTTGTTCATGTAGACTGGGTCTAAATAACACCTGGTTCGTGTAGACTGGGTTTAAATCACATCTGGTTCATGTAGACTGGGTCTAAACCACATCTGGTTCATGTAGACTGGGTCTAAATAACACCTGGTTCATGTAGACTGGGTTTAAATCACATCCAGTTCATGTAGACTGGGTCTAAATAACACCTGGTTCATGTAGACTGGGTTTAAATCACATCCAGTTCATGTAGACTGGGTCTAAATAACACCTGGTTCATGTAGACTGGGTTTAAATCACATCCAGTTCATGTAGACTGGGTCTAAACCACATCCGGTTCATATAGACTGGGTTTAAATCACATTTGTTTTCAATGAAGTCAGGTAGTGTTTAGATGGTTTTAGTTTCAGTAATTTGAAGTGTAGTGATTTCTGTGGAGTGCTAAGCATAAAATACATTTCAGAATGGAACAGCCTATGCAGCTGGTGTGTGATTTTTATTGTGACATCATGAGACAAAACCAAATGCTAATGCTGCTAACACTGCTGTATAAAATATGTAAAGTTTAAATTCAAAATGAGTTCACTGAAAACAACATGAGCGGTTCCTGTGGTCCAGCAGTTTCAAATGTAGGTCAGACACCAGCTGCAACTGAAAGTTTGATGGCTTGAATGAACGGATGTGTTAGCAGAGTTAGTAGAGTTAGTAGAGTTAGTAGCTTTAGTAGAGTTACCATCTTAAGTAGAGTTAGCAGACTTAGCAGCATTAGCGGAGTTAGCATCTTAAGAAGAGTTAGCAGACTTAGCAGC